GCACATTTCTGTTATTAGCACTCATCCAAGCACATGCCATGCAGAAATATTTAAAAAACCCCAACAACTTTATTCTCCAGAGACAGAAGCCACTTCCATTCCCTCAATTTTTAAAGGGGGGGATTGAACTCCAGCCTGCTTCCCATGGTCCTTCCTGTGCTGACAGAAACTGGCAATGGTCTTCAACCACATGCCATAAAAGCATTCAAATACTATTCCCAACCCTGTAACACATTATTGACATAAGATTCCTTTTACATAGATCTAAATGGTCTTTCACCTTAAACTGTAATGATCTCACTGTCACAGAGGTGGGTGAGACACTGCTGCCATCACACCTGGAGCCAAGCACCCAGCTGTTTCCCTCCTCTGAAAGAGTACAGTTTGTGCAAAGTGAATGGATTCTTCCTCCATCTTCTGCTTCACAAGAGCTGCAGACTGCTATCCAAGGTAAAAACAAATTTACTTTTCTGTTCTTGCTTCTGAACACAGGTGTCATCAACCTTTTCATCCACCCTGCAAGGTGTCTCTGGCATCCTGTACTAGAACCCATGCAGTCCTCAGACTATCACAATCAAAATATTCATGTCCTGAATTCAGCCCTCCCTAATATTTACAGGAGTTAATATACAAGGGGATAATAATGGCATGACTTTACTACTCCTCACCATAAAGTCCAGAAAGCACAAGTACACAAGATCCAGAAATAGTGGGAACAGAGAACCATTGTTGTCACAAGCTGCAGGAACTGTGTGTCGTGATCCTTCACTCTTTGAGCCTGGTAGCAAACTTCACCTGACAGTCACAGAGAGGAGATTTCCTTTCAAATTTGTCCCCACACTTTATCATCCTCCAGCTTACCTGGTTTTTGCTCCCAAATTCTCTGGAACTCTTCAAAGCAGGCAGACCTGAAGCACTTACAGCAATCCCATCCCAGGCATCCATACTCTCATAAAATCCTCCCCAAAAAAATCCATTATTAATGTTGGAAATAGAAGACAAAACAATACCATGTTGTGGTATTTCTGTGTAAAAGTTACTAGAATTAGATGTAATTGTTTGGGAAGGAGCCATACAAGACTTAACTAATATTTTGGACTAGACAAAACAGTGTTAAGGATATTTATAGCTCTTTAAATAAACAGCTCTCTAAATATGCTTAACAAATTAGGTCAAGATGTGATCAAGGACATGACTTTACTGTTAAAAGTTTCAGTTTCAGTACACTCCACAATCCTGAGGCTGACAAGATTTCTTTGTCATCACTCAGCAAGAGATTGCAATTTTTTCCTCCTAATTATTTTCCTCCCTTTTCTCCCTCCTCTCTAAAGGTCAAGCAAACACTTCCCCAAAGGTTGTTCATTCCATTAAATTCCTAACAGCAACCATCGGCTGCCTGTTCTTTGTGCCCATACCTGCCAACACATTTTATGACAAGGAAGATGGCAACTCCACTCAGTTATCCCTACAGATCCTCCCAGCTGATGGCTCTCCATGGGGAGCTGAGAGCTGGCTGCAGTTTAACACCTCCCAGCAGGCCATGCACGGCTATCCCCTAGAGATGGACTTCCAGCATTCCCCACAGGAGTTTGTGCTCTCTGCCACGGATTCTGGCGCTCTGACAGCCCGGCAATCCTTCACCATCGAGCTCCTGAAGCCCCCCCAGCCACCCTGCCACCATTTCACCGTGCGGACCAAGAACAGCTTCTCCTCCTTCCTGAGGGAGAGGAAAAGGGTGGCTTTGTTCCTGGAGAAGCTCTCCTCCTTCCTGAACTCCAGCAGCCCCAAAGACATGGCGCTGACAGCTTTGCAGCCCGGCTCCACGCTCATCTCCTGGTACAACAGCTCACTGTGTGCAAGCGCCAACACCTCTTCCAGCTGGTGCGGGAAAAGCGAAATCCAGCAGGCCCTGGAGAAACTGGGGGTGCCAGCTGGCTCTGTGAGCCCACAGTTTGTCCAAGCAATGCTGCCAGAGTACAGAATCGATGTGACCTTCAGCATTTCCTACAGTGAGGACTGCCCAGCCAGCACCCAGCCGTTCCCCGGGCCTTGCAGCAGCACCGGGCCGGCGCTCCACGCTGAGAACGACTCCTTGGTGAGGAGCAGCCGCCGTGCCCTGCTGAGCAGTGTGTGTGCCACTGCTGGCCTGCTGCTGCTGGCAGGACTGATCTGCTGGCTTTGCAGGTGTCCCAGGAGGATTCCTGGAGCTCAGCCTGTGATGGGTCAGACAAACTCCCAGCTGAGCCCTGCTGATGTGGAACTGGACACCCTGAGACCTCGCAAAGCCCCTGTGCACGAGTGCAGGGCTGCACGTTCACCTCCGTTGTGGATTCCACCTTCAGGAACACTTCCCTCCCACGGGCAGCATCCCAGGCCCGTCCTTCACATCACACCACCCTTCCAGCCACCAAAATACCAACTCCCTCCCCTCTATCCACAGGCTCTGACCACCCACCATGGCCAGGGCAACATCCAGAGGCTTAAGTTTTAAAAACTTTTAAATGGTATTAAGAGCAAATCTACAAAAAGACAAATTGCATTATAAGGCACTATTCTCAACACCCAGAAAAAGCAACATAAACAGGCAGTTAGTGATTTTCACCATGCTTCAATTTAGACTAGAATATATTTGACCCACACCTGACAAAGAGGCAGTGGCAAAAGCAGAACCCAAGTGAAATGGGCAAAAGGATCTCTTGATGAAGAGGTAGAATTACAACCCTGCAAAAGTCAGAACAAGAAAATACACATCAAGCTGATGCTGGTGGGAATGAGGGGTCAGAGTCAGTGCTGGGCAAATCTCACGGCATTATGTCTCCCTGACTCATAAATATACATTTTATATAGAAGAGGCAGAACTGTCACAGAAGGATCACCAAAAACCATTAAGGTTCCATTGAAATTCAGAGGTGCTACAGCCCTGGAGTCTAGGCCATCTTGGAATTTTAGTTTTAAAAAATGCCTGACATTGTCCTTTCAATCTTCCAAAACTTTTTAAAGCGTTTCTATAAATACACCATATGTAGCATTTCTAAAGGCAATAGTAGCTACTGAACTCCTCCTGTTAGGTAATTTGGTGCAATGTATCTTTAAAAATACATTTTAAAGTTCCAGTCTTGCCTTCTTTACAGTAAAACTGTCTCTTGTCTGCTTCCACCTGGGACAGTTCTAGCAGAGAACTCCCTAAGTCCTGCAAAAGAATTTATAAGGACTTTTAAAACATTTTGAAATCCTTCCAGTTTAATAGATTATCATATACAAAACACAATCCACAATTTAATTATGAACTGCATTTTGCAATCACATAATTACAGATCAAGCTACTTAATCCATAGCTTCCAATTTTAATCTGTAAACTCTTTTTAGAGCTGACAAAACCTTTCCTAAACCTGAAGGCAGTGAGTGAAATAGGAGCAAAGCAGCACCAGTGCCACTATGCAGGGCAGGAGAGGAATGTGGAATTGCCGTTTCCAGAAGTGCAAAGATCAGCCCTTGCCATCTCTTGAGTCCCTGTGAGACTCTTCAGGTACATGAAACAGACCCACAGCAACCAGCCCTGCTCATTTAATCACCAACCAGTCTGACCTGGCAGATGCTCCAAATGAGGAGAATGGAGTTAGTAAACAAGCTAAACAAATACACATTTTAATAGCAGGTGCTATCAAATTTCTCTTTCTCTAATGAACTATTTAGTTCCTGCACATATTTGCAAGGAGTGCAGCTGAATATTAATGGCACATGAGGAGATGCAACACACAATTCCCAAGGCACAGGATGAGCTTTTCAGCTCTAACTCTCCAGCCTAGCAAATTGCAGAGCTGACATTTACATGATCCCCAGCTTCCAGACTTCAACATTCCTCCTGGAAACAAGATATGCAGTAAAATCTCATTAAAATAACCCAGAAAGTTATGAGAAGCAATAATTTTGTGGCAGTTTTCTCCATCAGAACATTTCAGCTAGGATATCAAGAGATGTGGTGATGCAGGACATTCTGTTCTCAATGAAGTAGTAAAAATAAAAGCAATAGGTCTTCACACTAGATCTCCAAGAGTTACATGTTGCTTCTGTAAAAGCTACAAATATTTTACCATATGATAGAAAATATTACCATGCAAGTACTATTTAATCACTCTGTAAAAAATGGTTCTAAAATCATTTAACAGAAAATACATCTCCATCAGAGTGGCTGAATAATCACCTTGAAATTATTCATGGTACTTCAGCAAAGCTGAAGAAAGGATTCAGTCACAAATGTTCAGTGAAGAATATTTGTGTTCAGAGCTATACTTCACAAACTATGGTATTTAAAGCCGCAGGTGAATATAAAAATACTGATTTAGCTTTAGAAAACCTCAAAGATGTGTCTCAAACCAACTATAAGATATCCAATCTGTGAGCCCTTCAGTTGCTTACAAAGCCAGATGCAGACCAGAGGAAGGCTGACACACTTGGAGAGCTCAGGAATTCATCTTTCCTTAGCCTGTGTGGATGACAACCCAAAACCTGGCATGGGATCAGACCACAGACATTGGCTGAGTTTTCCCAGTTCAGAATTCTACTTCTCGGTGCAAGAGGCTCTACTCAAAGAAACTGAAGACAGATCAGCTACCTTTTCATTCACAGCCATTCCAACTCAGGCCCTCAGACTTGCAACCACAAGTATCTCACAGAACACACTTCATCAATAATATAATTATTAGCAAAAAATTTTATTGTACTTTTGCTTACAAAGCCTTAACTCCAACACAACAACTTGAAAGGCTTTGCTTTCTAAAGACCATTTCCATTCCATTTTTAAAAGTCTTTAAACCAACAGTTTCTATCTGTAAAACCCCTCACCCTCCCACCCCTCAGATGAAAACCAAGACTGGCACTCTCTCAGCTCAGTGTCTGGGTACCCAGTGTGCGGTCTTTTCCATAATTATGGACTCCTGAGGAATCCTCATATAAATAAAAGGTGTTCATGGACCAAAATTAAGGATGTTATCAGCTTACTGTAAATTACTTCAATTTTTCTTTTTTTTTTCAGACAGTCATCACTGATTTTGAAATAGTATCCAATACTTCTGGGCAAGGACTTTAAGGTGACTAACATTTTTGATTACTTGATTTACTCCATGGCAGCAGAGGTTTTCTTCATCCTAAAGCACGACTGGAAAACGCTTCAGGACAGCTCCTATTTGCACACAGCTGGTTTAACGTGATACGCAGGTTTCATACTTCATAGCAAAAATAGGTCTAGAAAAATGTAAAAACCAATCAAACCACAGCTATACAATTGTATTGAAACAGTACCAGGAGCAATTCCAGCATTAAATAGTTTTGCATTTTGGCCAGGTTTTGTCCCAAGAAACAGAATTAATCCTCACTGCCGGCCTGCTTTTCCATTTTCTGTTGTTTCCATTCTGAAAGGCAAGCAAACAAGTGGTAAGGCTTGTTACTGGAAGAAAAATCAAGTTAAAAAAAATCAGATTTAAATACTTTCATAAATACATTTTACTTCACGAACTGTCCTGTCTCTCCCTACCCCATATGCAATCTTATCTCCTCTTAATACTTCTTTAAGCAGCAGTCAGTACATAAAGGAAAGGTTTCTGCAGAGATACATTTCAGCTGTGAAAAACCATCCACTATCAACTTCACCAAAACAGACAATATTCATATGACTGGATAATATTCATGTGACTGGAGAATCCATTTTGAAAACTTGAGCTTTGGCCATTTTTTCCAAGGACTTCATTTTCAGCCCTCTTACACTGATCATTGCCTACCATCATCTGATTTCCTTCAGAGGAGGCTGGTTTGGTTTTCCAGTATTTTTTGTAGAACATGGACTACTTCATTACAACACAGCCTAAGAGTCAACCACTTTATTACCAACAATATCTCTGTATCAGCCATTCCTTTGGAAGCTAAAGCAAGCAGAAAGTCTCAGCTACTGTTTAAACCCCTGCAGTTTAATAAGAGTTTTGCTGCAGGGGTAGTAAGAGTTTAGTAAGTTATGCTGAGGCCCAGGGAAGCCCAGCTCTCAGCAGTCAGTCTCACTCAGCACAGATGCAAACAGAAAACCAAACACTGCTGTGGTTCTCCATCAATGCTGAGAAGCAAAGGAATGTACTCAGATATTTTAATCATCAAAGGAGTATCTAATGCTGTAAACTCCACACTGACTGCTACCAAGATATGGGTAGTGGTGCATTTCCTGATACAAACCCATTTTCTTCTTTCAGATGTTGATACAGCTCAGCTTTGTTGTTGACAGAGTTCAACCGGCCAATAAATTCCTGGTGTTTCCTAGAGTTGGCAGTATTAATTCTGTTGCTCCATAAAGACAGCAAGGACATTGGCCCTAAAATTGTAAGCAAAAAGAGTCTAAGTGATGAAAATTTTGAATTAACATTACATCATTATAACACCTTAAAGGAAATTACAGATTATGGTAATTCAACATGTTAAAACAACTAATATTGAACAAACTTACAGTAGTGGCTAAATAAACAGAAAATATGCAAAGTGATAATGGCTGAGGAGCTGCTGCATGTGAGATGGACTCTGCTTTAAATGCAGAATCTCAGCATCAGCTCAGCCACTGTGACAGAAAATCATTCACACCAAGGAAGAGTGAGAACTGTCCATTCTGACAACTGCACTGCTTAGGCAAGTTGATTATTTATTAGCAGGAGACAGTGATTTCTGATGCCTGCCCTCAAACAGCATTTCCCACATACAGGAGGTCAGACAGCACCAGCAGGAACTTGGCCACCCTCCTGTCAACCCAAGAGTCAATCAGCAGACCCATACAGTGTCTCAGTATCTCCCTTTTTTCACAGACCTGGCAGGTTAACATGTTTTCCAAGAATTTCTCAACATTTAGCATTCAATTAAACATGATCTTCACTGACTTAGCTTTAACTCCAATATGATTCACCTCATTACTTTAGAAAACACAGACTGATGCAACAACATCTACCTTTAAAAGAAATAATCTGTTGTAATTGTTCTGGTTTACCTTTTGCCTTTTCAACTGTGGGCATTTCATCCATTGTAATGAGAGGCTTTTTGTTGGGGGGCTCAGGAGAATCAGGGGAGTCTTTGATAACTTCAGCTTCTGCCAGTTCTTCTTTCTCCCGATCCAAAAGACCTTTTAACCTTTTCCAGAGGGAAGGAAAAGGGTGAGGAAAAATATGCTTGAGCACAACATAATTCTTGATAGCTTTCTGTACTGCTCAAAATTATACAGGACCTGTACCATAAGAAATTTTCTTTTGACCCCTTGAAGTGGGTGAAAAAAAATAGAGAATTGTAAAATAATTGTCAAATAATCCTCTGTATAAGCATTACATATAGGAAGGGTTCTTAATAACACAGCTTCACTTTAGTTGTTGAGACAATTCATGTCTGAATTTTGAAGGAAAGACTAAATTAAAATAAATACATAGAGAAATGATACAATTTCCTATTATCTTTTCTAGGTGAATTCAGACCCATTCACACCAAATCCCTTTTATCTCAGTCCCCATTTCTGTTGTAGGAATGATCATTCACATGGAAGGCATGGAATGTCACCAGCACGGTGACAGCAGGGTAGATGAAAAGGCCCTCCCGTCCTAAGTGATCCCAGCATGCACAGAACACATGCAAATTAAGCTTACTACCATGAGTTTTTTGGATGTCTGTAGAAAGTAGTTTCAAAGAAGGAATACAGAACAGATTGACAGGTGCTTGCCACTTAGACAAGCTACAGTAACAACATGGTAAATGGCAATAATCCTTATGCTCAGCTGAAGAGAAGAGCCAAATCAAGCTGGGTTGTTTAATCAACCTGAACACTGAACTATCTACAGCTTGACAGAAGAAAACAACTGCTTGTCCCACATTTTCAGCCATGCTTTAGGTTTCTATAAAGCAGTTTAATATCTAATAGGTGGTGTGGTTATGACAGAATCCAACAGCAGGAACTCCTCAAGCTACAACACTTGGCTAAGAGGTCAGCTAAGAACAACAGCTATGCTACAGTTTGATTTCACTTTAGAAAATGTACCTCTCTGAATCCTGCCATGGCTTATCTGATTCATAGTCTTTGCCCAGCTTCTCTGACTTGTCCTCTTTGTCTTCTCTCTTCCTGCCCCGTTTCTTGCGCTCCTCCTCCTCGGGGGGTTTGCTCCTGCAGGCCATGAGGCACTCCAGGACGCGCTGGTGTTTGTCAGAGTTGTTGATGTGCGCTCGCACCAGGGTCTCCAGCTCGTTCCACATGATGCGGTACTGCTCATCCCTGAGGGCCAGGAAACACCACACCGAGGGTCACCACCACCATTCAGCTACTGACTGGATGAATGCAGGCCTGAACAAGCAACACAGAACCCCCAGACCAAAAATATCTCCCCAGAAATTATCTGTCCTCCTCTACTGCAGGTTTCTCCACCTGGGATTACTCCATGCTTGAACCACATTAACATTTCCCAGTTAATGCCCAGAGTGAAGTTTAAATTGAAATGGATTATGTTTTGTGAAACCTCTCAGGTGCTTGCTAACAATGCAATGTCAGAGGGCCACTCATGCACTGACATGCAAATTAATTACTACATTATTTAGGTTAAAAAAAATTAGGGAGGATTGCACCACACTGTTGTCAATAACTCCCAGTCATGTAGGCAAATCAGGAGCTGAATTTCTTTTCAATCCATTCTTGGAAATACAAGGAACACATCCCAGTGGTTGAGGGATCAGAATATTCCATGCTTATTTTAAAGATGTATCCCATATTTGAAATAACTGTTCCATAAGAATTCCAATATATCCCAATTTTAATGCACCATTCATTTATAATATACTCAAGTTTTCCTTTTTATTAATTTGAAATTATTCCACTTTATCTGTCCATATTGTATCAATTTCTTAACTTTGCCAATAACTATCTTTGATTTCATATTTTTTAACATTTTAAAATTCTTAGATAATAAAATTGTAGAGGTCTTTTCCCTAATATACAGTACTATCAGTACTGTTATAGCCCCTAAATGATACAGGTGATACACACAGCATTTGGGATGTGCAATACAGTGTTTAGTTCACTATGCATTACTTTTAGCTATATTTTAAAAATCTGGTATGAAAACATTGTCAACAGAGTATTTCTGAGAAATAGTCCAGAATCAACAAAGAGAGATGTGCACATAACCTTTTTGGCCCCTTTCCTCTGGTACCAACTGTTGAAATTGGCAGTGGATCGTTCTTCCTCTCCATGTCCACCAAATTGTATATTGTTTTTTGACAATTCAGCACATCCTCATCAGTCATTGTTTCCTTCACAATCACACTGGCTAATGGCACTACCTGCAAGACAAAACAGGAATGAACAACAAGAAAATGTGTGTGTGTCACAGGAGAGCAACAGGGATTAAAAAATTAAAGGTAATGAAACAACACACAACAAAACCCACCCTTTTATTCTCAGTTTACTACTACTTCTAAGTGTAAGTAGATGCTTTCTTTACCCAGCAGAACTGGAGCTGTCAGGTTCAAATTACTTTATTTAAATAGCATTCCAATAATCTACTGCATTAAATACAGAATTAGTTCAGGAAAAATAAAGCTGAAAATAAACTGATTATACAGCAAGGGATTTATCGCCCCATAGAGTTGGTATTTCATCAAGTGACAAGGGGAAACTCAATCTAGGAACACAACAAAAATGTACACAGCCCAGGTTACTTACAGCTTGCATGTTGAAGATGGTGGTCTGAGAAATAATCATAGGCCAGTAACGAGTATGTTTCTCTAACTGATCTTTTGCACGTTCCAATGGAATTTCAAGACTTCCATCCATCTTATATCTGGGCTCTAGAAAAGGAGTTAATCGGTTTTCCCTCATAAATTCACCAAAATCCTAATGATAACCAAACAAGATACAATTAGGCATTTCTCTAACAAAGTAACTTTCAGTGAAGGGGCTAAACAGCTTAGCCTTGCTTATCACTTTGTACCATCCCACTGCCACATCCGACCCTACCAACCACAGCCCTGTCTCTAACTCTCATGCATTAACCAGGGGGAACACAAAAACAGGGGCACAGATATATGGGGTAAAGATCAATGTATGGGTTTTGACAAGAAGAACTTCCAGATTTGCAAGGTATATCATGTATGGGAAGAGTTATATCTTTCCAGAAGGAACTTCTGCTTATTTACAAAAGATATCAAGGATGTATTGAAAAAAATAAAGGATAAACAAAAGACATGTCAGCTGATTGTCTGATATCAGGGTTCAAAGCTGTCAACTTCATCTTTTTTATTTACTGTACAAACACTCATATGCAATCTATCCTTTGACAATAAGCACACAATATAGTCCGATGTGTATCCAATCCACAGAAAAAACTTGCTAAGAAAAATGTTTTTCTAGAACCAGAACCAACTTTAAACACTCCTAGTGAATTAAGGAGGCATTCCTTGACACACAAAGTATTTTATGAAGCAGGCATAGCAATCAACAAATGCAGTATTTTCTACCAAATATCTATCAAGGTATTTATTACAAAGAAAGCTTGACCATGCAAGCCACTCCAACATTTCCTTCCCACACCTGCCCAGCATCTGTTGTCATGTGAGAGAAGCAGCAGTGTAGCACAGAAAGACCCTTACTGTGATCCTGTAGTCAGTGACCCTCCCACCGCAGCCCTCGCTAATTGAGGGGGGATCTTCCAGGATTGAGCGGGAGCTGCTCAACACGTGCAAGAAAATCTCTCCCCCGTGGCTGCTGAGCATGTGGCTGATGACTTTTGAGCCAGACTTGCGTGGCTGCTCCAACAACACTGAGCGACCTGGTGGAGGGAGATCAGTTTCATTCACTCATTCCTGGGTGCTGCAATTTTAAATTTTGAGCTGCATAAATACAGAAGAATCTGAACCCACCAAGGTGGTGTTTTCACCCAGCTTAATAACAAACTTCCATCTCCTCATTTCTTGACACAGAACAGGGTATATGCACCCTAAAATTTTACAAAGCAACACCAAAAGGCCTCTCCTAGACCAACCAATCATTTCTTCTATAGGATATTATTCTTAGGAAAAAATACATATTCATAAGGCATTCAAATGGCCCTGCTGCAGAACCACTCTCATTACAAGTAACTTTCAAAAAGTAATAAAATAACCTCTTGAGCATAAAGGTATCAGTTGATACTGATACCTTTATACTCAAGGTATAAAGGTATCAGTACTTATACCATTAGCTGATGCTAATGATTAAAATGGATACTGTTCTTCAGACAGAAATAAAACTGCATTTGTCTTATTTTCAGTAGAATACACCAAGCATTAAAGGGTGCATTCTCCAAATAAGTTTCTTTTGCTAAGGAAGCAAAAATCAGAAGAATGAGCTTACCTGAAATATGCTATTAATTTTGGTTCTAACCATTTTTATTAATCAAAGGACATTTTCACTACACAATCTCTAGAGAAAAATACACTAAAATATAGTTTTTAATAAAACCACTGCATGTTTAGACAATCAAATCACTTGACTGAAGGAAACATTCTGTTAAAAGGATGTTTGTTAATGCCATTTTGCTTGTAAACACACAAACCTCCATTTCAATACTTGCTGCTTTACATATTTCCTCCCATCTTTAAGATTCAAAATACATTTGCCTTTGAGGACATTTAAAAACTTTCTTCTCTTATTTATAGGACATTTTAAAATAAATGTAGTATTTTTACAGTTTATACACATTACTGCTACACCAATCAAAATGTGCCACATGCTCCATTTACAAAATTAAAAATTCTAACATTGAATAATTAGCCAAGGACACAAATTTACCATTAAGGAGAAAGTTTGTAAGGCATGAAGAAGGTCTGCTATTTACATCTACTGGTGAAATTCTGTATGCTCCGGTGCAATAGTGCAGTTCTGAAAAATAAAGGAGTAGGAAAGTAGAGTGTAATTCCAGAGACAGAAAAAAAAATTCCACAAAATAAAACAATGGAAGCAGAGGAGACTAGTCCACAATGAGCAGAACTAGAAAGTCTAGATGCCTCTGAGTCTGAAAGTCCTCACTGGGAGGGTTCCCAAGAATCCACAGCTGTGAGAATCTCATACATTCCCAACCAAGCCCTGTTTCCAGCAGAAACCCCAATTCTTTATCTCCTGAATCACTTCACTGATCAGTCAGTCTGCTCTTATTTCTTTTACCTCTATTTCTGGCCTGCTGGCTCAACAAGTCAACATAAATTGCTAATAGTTAACAGGGTGCATGAGCTGCACAGCCACCTCAGAGCTGCCCTGGCTTTCTCTCCTGTACTCAGATTTGAACAAGTTACCAACCAGGTCTGGAAAGTTCCATGGCACCTACCCACACTGTTGGTTCGAGGAGTGCACCATTTCAGTGTCACAGTTTCTTTAAATGTGCCTTCTCTGCTATTGCCACCCACGTGGTTATCACCTGCAGAGAAAGGCAGAAAGTGGGGGGATCAACCAGAGTTTATTACAGAAAAACAACTCTAAACTTAAGGTACAAAATGTAACATGAATATATACACAAAGCAATCTAAATTTAAAACTTAAGATACCAAACCTTTTGATTTGACAATTAGAAAGTTCTACATAAGTTTAGTTCTATCAGTAGTAGGCAATTTTTTACTGCTAAAATGCTCAGGACTTTAAGACAATATCTTTATCAAAATTTTCCACACAGAAATCAGAACTCTTACATACTAGAGCTGACTGTTTCTTGTACATATTGTATTCCCAAAGTCAATTAAACCAATCTAAAGGTACATTTGACAAGTTTAGTTTTTTGGGGAAAGAAATATTTGGTCTCATCACTATGTCAGATTCAGCCTGAATTCTCTCAATGTGTTCTACTGACCACAAATGCTTTATTATTAAAATACTGGAAATACTTTATTATTAAAATTAACTGCAGCAATTTTAGAAATTATCTCTCAGAATATCTGAAGGCCAAACTTATTTATCCTGAAAATTTCTTGGCAACATTTCAGAGAAATAAGACCAGTGTAACTAAATTCCCACTTTCCTAGCATCAGAGCTATTACAGCTGAATTATGTATTTAGAAACAAATGAAAGAACCCAAAATTTACAGAATCTAAGAACAGACTTTTTCCTCTCAAAGTCCTGATGGGAACATGTGAAGAGGAAATGCAGGCAGAGTGCTTTTGTATTTTCCTAGGAGACCTAATTCCTGGAGCCTACAGGTTTTACAAAACTGCTTCTGAGCCCTGGCAATAAATGCTGTAAGATTTCAACATCATAACACAGTTCAGGTGAGGCTGAGGTCATTACTGCAACACCCCATGCTTTTCATCAATCTTTAGTCATCCACTCCCCTAAAATTTGGAGCACAGCACTTGGAGATGACAAAGGAATTACCTCCTCTTCCTCAAAGCAATGGGACAAAAAGCACAAACTCCCCAAAATGGCTACTTATGGATCATATGACATTAAATTCTACTAATAGAGAAGTTATAAGCTGATTTTTAACAAAGTTTTACATCAGGCAGTTTCCTCAACAAAATAATTCTGCAAAAGGCTAAGTGTTGTGCTTTTCTAACTTTGGCTGAGCTATTAAAAATTCACCTCAGAGGAATGCTAGGTAATAGTTCCAAATTTACAAAAAAAAGAGATAGGTATTTCAAATACAACAAAAAACCTCAACAGCCAAACAAGTCTTGTTTTTTCCAAAGCCATTATTGCCATAAACAGGCCTGTGGGATGTAAGTGGTGCTAATTATTATTACTTAACAAAGTTCAATTGTGCAAGGCATAATTTTGCACAAATATCCACAAGAAGGACTTCCTTTTGTAAAATCTCCCTGCATATCTGGTCTCTCACCTACTTTTTGTATCTCAGTAAGAAACTGACATGCCCTTCAAATCTCACAGCAATTTCCTGAACATATGTGAATCTGGCCTGTTTTCTCATTGCTGTATTAAAATATGTCAATAATGAGTAAAACTCTAATGCCAACATTACAAATTAAGTTTCCTGGGTTACAAGGAATAACTGAAATATTTACTATTTGAGCCTGAAAATTACATGGATTTGAAGGTCTCAATCTTCCTTTGTGAATACTCCCAAAGAGGCTGATCAAAAGCCACCTTCAGAGGGCCATTCCTACTCACCACTCTTTAAAAAATCCACATGTGCCTCTTTGTGATGAAGCAGCTCCACATCATAGTTGGCTGATGTGTTAGCATGTTGTTCTTCCTTCAAAAGAGAAAGGTAGACATAAACAGAATTACTTTAGCTAGAGGTCACCATTTTCATAAATGATTCTACATTTGTCTTTCAGTCTGGAAGAAAACAAAAAATCTCCAAGTGCCTCAGACAACAACAGGATTGCAATGCTGAGGGAACTTTGCTTTCTGAGCAGTTTAAAGATGCAGCCAACTTCTTTTCCCTTTATTTACATTTTTGAAACCCTGTTCCTCTTTACACAAGCCTCATGTCACCATGCAGAGCATCACATACAAGTAAAAACTAGGCTTGACTACTTCACTAAATTAGTGAAGTTAAGGAAGCCTACAAAATGTTACATAATCAGCAGTTACAACTTACTGAGCAGCAACAAAGACTCACTGCAGGGTAGAGTGACAATTACTTTTCAAAACCAAAAATAAAGAATCCAAACCAAAACCCACACTTTGAACTTAGTACTTCTTAAGCTTATGAAAAGAAGTGCACTTGCAGCTGCAAGTTTATAACTCAAAAAATTGATTTTTGTAAAGAGGACACTGCATCTTCAAACAGCTGCAGAAGATCAGCAAAAACAGAACAGTAACTCTGCTAATTTACTCCAAGTTTAAAAAGAAAAACAATTTAAAAAAAAAGAAAAAAACTACAGAGAACCCAACATAATCTATTACTATAAAGACAAAGGCAGAAGGGAGAGGCACACCAGCAGCACACAGGTCAGAAAGTTACAGACAAGGTATTTGCAAACTGAAGTCACATCTATGTCATGACCCATGTCAAACTCTCATAAAAACTGAAAATTATTTTGATATCATGTTTTAACTCATAAAATCCATGCAATATTGCTAGATTTCAAATATGCAATGATTGGCTGTGTTACAAGTTAATGAATTTTTTTAATCATGAAGGTTACCTGCCCATGGCTCATTTTCTGTTTGAAAACTGACACACCTGTCTCAATTGTCTCTTGCTGCCTGATCAGAAAATTACTGTCAACATAACACCTGACATTCTAAACTGATTTCCCTCCAAGTAGCAAAAAAATTTAAAATATGGACATAACTTCTACCACAAGACACTTAATTGAATCTCTTTCTTAACTAGATATATCCTGTCTCCATTTCATGTTTATGGATTTTCAGAGTAGAAAACCCACTGGAAAATCCTTGGTAAAAAAGCAGCTTTTAGTTACAAACACCTTTATGTTGGGTGGGCATGATAATGAAACAGAGGAAAAAAAGACTCACTATGCCACTATAATGCACAAGGGTCAAGAATATCTAAACACAACTAGAAAAAGACAAAAGAATCACAGACAAATTGATCTGAGGTAAACGAGACTGTATTTATATAAAGTAATACAAACAGAACTGAAATAACACTTGTATTGCTACATCAAAAATTGAGATTTGGCAATACAATATTTTGTTCTGTGATCCTTCTTTACTTTTTTTTTCCCCTACTTCATTTTTACTAACCTGATCACAGACATTGAATGTGGGCTAATAAAAGAAAAAAAAAAACAAAACAGAAAATATGATATGGAGAGAAAAACAATGTAAAAATTCAATTAAAATAAACATCAAAAGTTTTCAAACAAATTTAGAAGTGATGCATCTGGTTAACACAGAGCTGCAGACACAATATTACCTTCATAGGGATGTTAGTTATTGTGGTTGAAGCCAGATCAAAGTGTTGCTGTACTAAAAGATTCAGTTTTGTAGCCAGGTGCCTCCCTGCACGGACACTGTGCACTTCACTGGTTAGAACAGGGGAGAGCTGAAATGAATTGATACATAGAATTCATAGTTTAGGTTGTGATATCATTCAGCACTACAGTTTGTTCAATTCTCAAATAAGCATTTATACTGCTAAAGCTACCACTCAGAAACCCACACCAGGGGAAACTACTGAGCAAGAAGCAAAAAACTATTTTCATTCTGAACTCTGAACTTTGAGTATGCCAACTGCTACAGATGCAGTGCTTAAAAATGGTTAAAAAAAATTAGAAGTGTGCTAAAAATTGAGTCACTAATTGTTGATAGGAAAAATTAGCATCACAACATGGGGAATAAATCTTAACAGCAGCTCTGGGCCTGGTTTTACATTCTTTTACCTGCTGAGTAACAGCAAAGTAATTTTTAGATGTCTACCTGTAAGTGCATCGTACATACACAAGGCAAATAAACACAAGCTAGGAGATGTATTTGATTTTTCCTTAGCCAAAAAGAACATTGGGTTGGGGCTCAAAACCAAAACAAAGTAAATTTTAAAAACCACACAGCAAAAACTACAACAACCCTCCAAAACCCCAAAACAAGAACCCCAAACAACAACAATAAAAAAATCCCAGGACCCAAACCCAGAGACTGCCTTAGAGAGAGAAGTAGTCAATTTGCTATCTTCTATTCACAATTTTTAGCACAACTACAGCAGAGTTCTGTAGAAATGAATCACAGGAATGTACCTCCTCATAGTCCTTTTCATATATTAAATACTATGCAGCACTACATGCTTTTCATGTTAAGTCATTTTTCTGGGGTCTTTTCTTACAGACAGCATGTTAATGCAGAGCAGACTGTTGAATAGCAGAATATATTACAGATTTTTTAATGTACTTGGTTTCAAACAACCACCACATGTGCTTTTGCTACTGAACAACTGAGAATAATTTGCACTACTTTCAGTCTGACATGGTTCAATCTGGGATAAGCTTTCTCATTTTAAGCTCCTCACCTCTTTTTTAGGACGATCTGAAACAAGGCTGTCTTCACCAACTGGGTACGTGTGGATTAACACCAGTTCACATTTCTGAATCTGCATTAGACTTAAAAATAAAATCATTTTGCTTAGCCTACAGTGTGGCAGATTATCTCCAAAAATTAAATTAATTCTGGTATCTAGAACACAGAATCAAAACATATGTTAGTAACATGTTGTTTATAAAAGCGTGCTGCAGGAACTATGTTACAGATACGAATTTCAAAAGCACAGACTTCAAAATAAGTTCTGATCAGAATAAAAATAAAAGCCTAACACTTCTTGCTCCTCAGATGCTACAGCACTGTGCTTCTTTTTTGGACACATCAATGGAGTAAGTCCTTAACTGGTGCAATCCGTTCAGCTTTATTCAGCTGAATGTTGACACTACAGAGGATTTGTGTCTCCAAGTGTAGGTAAGAATGAGGGGATTCCAGGGAACATGAGAACAACTACCCAAACAGCACAGAGAGCTGGGACGTGTAATGGGATATATGCTAATCCTGATGTGGCTGGAAGTTTGGAGTGATACAAACATTGTACCACATCTCTACCTAGGAATGAGACATCCCTGTCTTTACAATAGATTTTACAGCTAATTCCTTGGGCAGGATCCTTTATAAATCCATGAAACTGCAACTGCAGCAGGAAGAAAACAGGAGAGTGCTGCTTCTGCTCTTGAAGTGCCTGAGGAGCAACCAGGAATAGGATCTCAACCCACAACAACTTTACAAGATAACACAGTGCTGTAGACAAACACTTCAGTTTCATTAGACAAAACATACATGGAGAAAGACTTCTCAGAGGAGATGCACTCTGTATTTTAAGATTCCTTTATCTCAAGGGAAGTTCCAGGCAATACAGTCATTTAGAAACTGAAACTAGTTTCAAAGAAGTTAGCTATTTTAGTCAAAGGAAGGTGAACATTAAAGTAAACAGTATAATCAAGAAAAACTGCTCCAGATAAATTAGTGATTAAAAACACAATGTGTAACAAGGCACAGTTATGCATCTCATTTTGGAGCAGATGTAGAAGGTAACAAGCTAAAGAAATCCTGTCCTACGAGGATGACACTAGAAAGAAAATGATCATACATCAGCTCTAAGCCAACAATATGATGATTTACCACCTTCTACTTCACATTCATTCAAATGGTTCATTATAGTGAGTTTTGTGACAGAAACACAACCATATTTCCTAGAGGACACAAGAAACTGTAAAAGGCATACTCACTGGTCAGAGTTAGCTGCAAGCTTGTTGTGCTCATGAATGGTCTCCTGAACGCAATCCTCCAGCATCCGAACGTGGCTGTCACTACAAAGAAAAGTGGTTTCATTAAGGATGCGCCATCTGTCAGAACCCCATAACAAAACCTTTGATAAGGTGAGAAGTGCTCTGAGAAGGATCTGGCAAAGGAGCTGCCTGCAGCCCTGGGGGCAATGCCGGGAGCCAGCAGAGCCCGCGGTGCCCACCTCTTGGCGTTGGTGATGCAGATGATCCTGCCGCGGTTGCCGACGCGCTCGGCGTTCTCCATGAGCGTGGTGCGGGCCTCGTGCTGGTACTCGGTGATCTTGCAGAGCGCCTCCACGGCGGCCACCAGCCCGTGCAGGATGCTGCAGCACTCGGGGTCCGCCCGCGGGTTCGGCGGCCCCACGGCCGCCAGCGCCGCCATCAGCTGGGCGGGACAGAGAGCAGTTACCCCCAGAGGCACCTCCCAGCTTTTCTAACACTCTGACTGCAGATTAACATTGATAGAAGGGCAAATGGGACCACTAACGAACCTCACTGGCAGCCTTCTGGAAAACATTCGGCCCTAAATTATCCTTTGCGATTTAATTATTCGCATTTATTACAGAAAAATACCTAACTAAAATAACGACTTATTATAACAACTTATATCCAACACCCGAAAGACATTCTAATATTGCTCCTTGCTTTCTGCTTTCATTTTCTGAGAATTTGGAAATGCATTTCTTCCTCCAAGTAAATTTTTCAGAGGATGAAACACAACCATAAATAGGATATTAACAATTAAAGTATTTAACACAAGTTATTTGCCTCTCATGCAAATATTTCAAAAAAGAATTTAAGTTCAAAAGGTAGCACTAAATTACAGAAGAAATACGTAACTAATTTATTCATAATGCTTATTTTAAATATTTAAGTCTCTACTTAAAGATACTGGATTCTTTTTAGATTTTGTCTGTAGAATAGTCCAGGCTCACAGGCGGCTATTTGAAATTCTGTTATACAACAATTTCAGACTAGCTCCACCAACACTGTAATTAACCACAGTTACTTCACATGGAACACAATGTTTATTTCACAATGAAATCTGAACTACAAAACAAAACAACAGTTACAAATCATACCTCCTGCAAGTTCTGATCTTCCTGAGTCCAAGAATTCAACACATGAGCCCCAGAATCACTCACAATGAAGTTCACCTACAACGATCAAAAAAGCACATTAAGGTAACAGCCATTAAATTGTTACTTTCCCAAATTTAAGCAAACATGAATTGCACTTCTTTTGTCTGGAGATAATGTGCAATGACAAGCCAAACTCAAAATAACAAACCCACAAAAATCACACACTCCTGCTATATTAAGTTTTCCCCTTAGTAATATGATTAACAACTTATATTTTTACACCAGAAAATAATTCTCTACACCAAATAAGATTTACAAAATATTAGTATTTTAAAAATTATATTTTCAGCAGGATAGGCACAAAATAAAGTAAATTCTAATACTGTAAACTGCACATCATTCTCCAAAGTCTGCCACAGTACATCATGGGGTAAATATCTACCGTGATTTAACAAACTAAGAAAATATGGTTTTCTAAACAAGGAGCTGTGTGTGTCAGGAAACTCTCCTCCCACTTTTCCAAACTGTTAGCTCCAGGGCAATCCTACTCTCTTCCTAAAGCCCAGAATTCCTTCAATGCTGACACCAAAACTCTTACAGAGAGCCTACCACGTGTATTCAGCAAGAAACTTCAATTTAAGACAATTCCTCACTGAAGCTTTTGTAAAGTCATTCCTCAGGAGAGCACAATAATAAAGCTCTAAGTTGCCCTAAAGCACCTCTCCATGTTTTGCACCAGCTTGTAATGTGACATTAGAACAATGAAAGATTCCAAAATTAAATATGCAATGAGATTTACATACTACTAAAACTAATTAAAGGATAATAAAGTATATAAACAGCAAAAACAAATTTTAAGTGATAAATTACAATTTGATATCTTACTCTAAACAACACAAAGATATTAAAATACTTCAATAAAAAATGAAAACATCCCAAATTGTATCAAGCATGATATGCAGCATGGCTGGCAGAACCTACCAGTTTCTTGAAAGGGAAAATATCATACATTATTCTACAGTATTCCATGGATGACTCCACTGAGCAGGTCCACAGGGACTTGGAGATGGGTGCCAGAGGAATGATGCCCTGGGTGCGGTTCTTCACTAACATATCGAATTCCACGTGCTGCCTGCATGATTCTGCCATGTAGGGGCAGTGATCCACAACGAAAACAGTTTTGTGAGACTCAGAAAATATTTTCATTTTTTTCCTGAAAGAAACAGACATCGAAAGCGGAAAGAAATTGCACACGGTGAAAAAAAACCAAACAAAACACATCGTAAATTGACTCTGTAAATTACACATACATCCTAGAAATACACAAGCTTTAGACTCCGTGTTTAGTAGACTACATTTCTTATCAAAAAAAACCTATTTTTTCTCAGGAGGAAAAATGGAGCAAAGTGGAATTATATTACTGAAAAGTCAAAAATGCACAGTTTTAGTCTCCCCACTTCTCTATTTAAAACCAACTTTAAAGAAGTACACAAACTGCTTCCTACTTAAAGCTTATTTCCTAAAACAAGTAACACGCAAAAGAAAAAAAATTATTATTAAACTTTAAAGACCTATAAGTAACATAATCAGAATTTTAAGCCAGTTTTCATTCTTGGCTTTGCTAAATATATCTTACTTTTAAACGAATAGTTGCATCTGTACTTCAACATCTCACTGACAAATATACCAAGTGTGGAATTATAAAAATCACAGAGCAGGTAAGGCTGGAAGGAACCTCCAGAGATCATCTGGTCAAACCCCCAGCCAAGGCAGGTGACCTAGAGCGGGTAATGCCTTCACTGGGTTTGGAATGTCTCCAGAGGGGGACTCCCTTCCCAGGCAGCTGCTCCAGGGCTCTGCCACCTTTTATGTACAGAAATCCTTCCTCATGTTGAGGTGGAACTTCCTGTGTTTTCGTTTATGGCCACTGCTCCTCTCCTGTCGCTGGACACCACCGAAAACAATTTCTAGCATAAGAATTTACTTTTCCACGTCCTTCTGCTGAATTACAGAATACACAAGACAAAAAATACATGTAAGCTCATTTAGAAAAACCTAAAATATCAAAGCAACGAGGATCACGGAAGCGAGACCGCGGCTTCCTCGGGGGGAGGCAGCGGGGCAGCTTTGGGCCCCGCGCTCGGCTGCGGCAGCCGGGGCTCACCGCGGCCCCTTGGCCTGAGCCGGCCGCTGCCCGCCCTGGGCGGGGCAGGCAGCCCGAGGGGCCGGGGCCGCGCCGCTGCAAGCGTTCCGGCGACGGCGAGCGTTCCTCACCTGGGCCGGCTCCTCCTGTGGTGCAGCAGCCCCGGTCCCGCTCCTCGCCGCGCCCGGCCGCGCCCGCGGCCCCGCTCCGAGGAGGAGGAGGGACGAGGCCCGCGGGGCGCCCTAGACGGGGCCAGGCGCGGGCGCCTCCGGCCGGGCGCCCTCCATGTCCCTGCGGCGCTCTGCTCCCCCTCGTCGGGCGGCTCGGCGGGGAGCGCGGGGCCCGGGTCCGGCCTGCGCGCCCGGCGCCCGCGGGGGTGGGAGAGGCGGCCGGAGCCCCCCCCGCTCCGCCCACCCCTGAGCCCGCGGGGGCCCCGCGCGGCCACGGGCGCCGCCGGCACCGCGGCTCCCCCGGGGGGAGCGCCCGGCCCCTGTCCGCACTTCCCCGGGCCACAGCGCCCGGCCGGGATCACTCGCCCAACATGCCGAGGCCGGCGCCGGCCTCGCTCGCGTTCTCGCTTCCGTTCCCTCTCCCGTTCCCCAGCCCAATCCCGCCTGGGCGCGGACGCCCCGCCCGTCCCTGCGCTGACCGCACGGCTCGGGGGAGGAGCTCGCGATCTCGCGAGAGCACGGGGACGCCCTGTGGGCGGGCCCCGCCGAAGCCGCCGTGTTCTCGCGAGATCTGCGGGCGCGGCGGGCACACCGAGGGGCGGCCACTCCGTGAGCTGTTCCAGTTTCTGTGGGAATTCTGTCTTCCAGCGTGCAGGGAGCCGGAGCGTGCCGACAAAAGGCTCCCCGATCACCGAAACTTCATACTTTTTATACATTTTAAGAAACAGAAGCATCAGCGATCACAGGCAGAAAGTTACGTAATTTTTTTGTTAATTAGTACTCAACCCCGTTTGCTGGGTGTGTCTGTGGCTTCTCACGCTCATCAGTGCGCAGCCGAAGTTCTCCCCATTTGAGTCTGGGCTCTGTTTTTAGGAGGGGGTCGGTGGTTGCGATCGCCGGCATTAACTTTCCCCGTTATTGCTGACTTTACCCTTGATGGCTCTCAGCCACACAGCCCAGTCATTTTGGGACTGTTTCCCTTTTTTTCTTATGGGACAAGATGGGACAAGAATACGAATATAGAATCACACAACGCCCTGGCCTGCGAGGGATCCTACTAGTCCGTGCGGATCCATCCCCCCTGCCATGGACAGGGACACTTCCCACTATCCCAGCTTGCTCAGAGCCCCGTCCAACCTGGCCTTGGACATTGTCAGGGATGGGGCAGTCCCAGCTTCTCTGGGCACCCTGAGGCCTCAGCACCTTCACAGGGAAAAATTTCTTCCCAATATCCAACCTAAATCTATTCATAGTGCAATTGCTTAATCCTGCGTGTGCCGCTAGAACTGCTGATGTACAAATGACCACAGATCCCGAGGTTTGGCTCGGCATCCTCCTCACACCTGCAGGACCCGGCATCTCTAGGAGGGTGGGGGCGTTCTCTCGCGAGATTTGGAGCCGGCGGCCGCGGAGGGGCGTGTTCTCGCGAGAGCGGTGCGCGGCCGGTACCGCCCCCGCCGCATGGCGCCCCCTGGCGGGGACGGGCCGCGCCGGCCTCCCCTCGCGCCGCCATTTGACGTCGGTCGGGGCCGGTGCGGGCGCACCCCCGGCGCGGCCGGAGCCCCGGGCATGAGTGAGTTCGGTGGAGGGGTTCGGGGACACGGCGGGGGGTTGCCGCTGCGGCCGCCGCCGGGCGATCGGGAGCGCGGGCAGCCTTGCGTTGGGACTCCCCACGGCCGGGGGCGTGAAGGAGCAGGACGCCCCTTGCCCCCGCCTCAGAGCCGCGGGCCGGGCCGGGCCGGGACCCCTCACGTGTCTCGACTCGCGCCGGGGTCACGACAGGCGCCGGTGTCGCCCCTCAGCGTGGCGGTGGCGCCGCGTTTTGGGGGCGGGAGGCGACGCTCCCCGCGGTGACACCCCCGCGACGCCGCTGTCACACCGGAGGGGACACCCCGGCATCTGTCACGGCGGGGGTGCGGCGGTGACACCCCCGGGATGCTCCTGTCGCGCCGGGACCTTTGCCCCAGCCTAAATTCCTTGGAATTCCTTGGAAATTGCAGTCTGGCTCAGCGCTGCCAAACTGGTCTCCGTGGTAACACAACCCACAAGCTGTGGGAAAAGGTGGCTTCCAGTAAGGATGAAAAAAGAAAAAAAAGAGGCAGAAAGTTAGGAGAAGGCGGTGGTCGCACAGAGATCTTTATTGTTTGGTGTTGTTTTTTGGTGTTTAATTTGGTGATGAAAGGCATTAGCAAATAGCAGGAAGTGACCGTGTGCAGTAGGAGTGTTGCTGGGGTGACTTGGGGCTCTGCTACCTGTTGACACGGCTGCAGTAACGAGAGTCTGTGCAGCTGGGCATCTCTGTAGGGCAGGGCTCAGCAATCATTAACTTCAGCTCCCATAGTCATGCTCATAAAAAGTAATACACGATAAGGATTTGCTTAAATCAGTTATATTAATGATTAATTGGAGGTTTTTCCACCTCCTAAATGTCCAGGCTAACTCACAGATTTAGCTCAGTTTCAGCATCAGGCAAAGGTTTTGTTTTTCACAGGCGGCCAGAGAGCATTTTAAGATTCAAGGATTAGGACCAGTGTCCTGGATACTAAAATGTATCCTAGCCATGGTTTGGAGCCACTGTGAATCACCATGATACAAACAGTGATTCTGCTTTTTGAGGTACAAATGCTGCCTGAAAACTGGAGCTGGGCCCTGGCCTGACAGGGGACAGTGACTGCAGAATTTTTGGGGCTGTATTCTACACATCTTTCCCGGCACATTCCCTGTGAAAAGAAACATCAGTGCCTTTGCCACAAACAAACTTCCTTTCCTCTGACATGGTTGGGCTGGGGCAAAAACAAGAAAGTGCATCTATTAAACAGATGCTGTTTAAAAATTTATGTGGATGCAGACAAATTGTCAGAGGTGTTAAGTGCATTGTAGTCTGAATGCCAAATGCATTCCCAGCTCATGCAGAGGCCTCAGAGGCTTTGTTTATACTGGTCAGAGAATTCCTGGAGAGTGAGCTGAATTAAAGGCTGCTCTTCAGCAGCAGCATGGATCTCACTGAATCAATTTCTGCAGCAGTTCAGCCAGTTAGTGGGGAAGGTCATCTTTTGTCTGGGACGTTTCTGTAGGAGATCTGACTGGAGGGAGGAGCAAGAAAAGCAGATCTCTAAAAACAGTGCAGTGTGCTTGCTTTCCTTGTCGTGTTTGAAAGAGCTCCAAGTGCTAAGTCAGGGTGAATAAATCAAGCACCTGTGATAGCCCAGCACTGCTGGGGGCCTGACTGTCTCAGATACATCCTATGGAAAGTGAAATGCCAGTGTTATCTGATGAACAGCAAACCTGCACATGCCAGAGTGCTGATGCTTTTGATAGCACATGAATCCCAGAGCACACAGGTAAAATGTCTTGTGTTTGAAATATCCTTCCTTCTGCTGCTTGCCCGGGATAGGAGCAAAAGGTCAGCTGAGGCAAATTTGAGGATTTCTTTCAGTTTAGCTTAAGATCCTGGGTTATGATTTGTAAAGGTGCCTGAGAAAGTTAGAAAATCAACCTGAAGCGATTTTTCTTTTCATGTAGCTGAGGAAAGACTCAATAATCTTTAATGCTTACAAAAATCTTTACTTTTGCAAATAGCCTGGCTAAGAAATGGATTTAATAGATTCTTTCAGTACCTTAGAACATTTCCTAAACCAGATATTAAGCCTGATATCAACAAGGCCCATAAATCCTATAAGCCTCTATCGCTGCTGTTTGATTGCTGAAGACTGCTCAAGGAGTTTAAATAGATTTCCTTTTCAGTAGACTAAGTCCAAGGTTCCTTAAAGGAAAATAAAAACATAGGCTGAAAAGCTTGGTCTTGAAACTCAACCTACCAGGCATGAATATGGAAAAATGCAGTGTAAAGGCCAGTAGTGTTTGCAATAGACACAAGTATTTTGCAAGTTTGCCAGTTCTGGCAATCTGCAATTCCTGTGAACAAGTGCTGCAGGTGGAAGGGCAATGTTTTAAGGGTGCAGTTGCTTCTTTTCATTAGCTGAGTTGCTGTCTCTCTCCATGCTTTGAAAATGTCACAGTTCCATTCCAGCAGCAATGCTTGTGTTCAGTTATAGACACGAACAAAACTCGAGCCTTTTGTCTTCTGAACCTTCCCCTGAGCAATTTTCTCTACTCCATCAGTTTGAGCTGTGCCTTCCCTGCTGATTTAAGTCATCAGAATCTGTAATCCTTCAGCATTCTCTTTTGTGCTGGATTTACACCTCAGTTACCCTGAAGTATATCTGTTAGGAGGGCAAATTACAAAAAAGTAGCGCTAAAATGAATGAGTTGATGTAACATTCTTTCGCTTTCCGTATCACTCTGCCCGAAGCAGGGCTCTGCCCAGCTTTGCCGTGCTGCCCTGCCTCTGGCGGCTGTGCTGAGTAGAGGTGCAGGGTGCCAGCGCTGCCTTTGTCCCGTTCAGAAATGAGCTGCACCATCGAGAAGGCGCTGGCGGACGCGAAGGCGCTGGTGGAGCGGCTGAGGGAGCACGACAGCGCGGCCGAGGCGCTCATCGAACAGACCACGGCGCTCAACAAGCGGGTGGAGGCCATGAAACAGGTCTGCTCTCCAGCCCCGCCTGTCCTGGCACTGCAGCATTCCAGCTCTGGGGGTTCTGTGCAGCACGGAGTGAGCGCGTGCTGGGGTCAGCCTCTAGTGTAGACTGGGTGTTTTAGTAGGGGTGTGGCTGTCATCTAAAAATAGCTTGTTTGTGTAGTTTGAGACTGTGAAAACATTTTCACAGTTACTCCAGTTTAAAAATGAGAACAAGCATTTATTTGAAGAATGCTGGTAGAAATCGGCTTGGTATCTTACAAACCACTCTGTGGTGTCTCTTGGTTTGCTTTCCAATGCAATACTACACAATTTTATTAATTTCAGCATGCCCATTTAATCATACAGAGACTCTTGACATGTTTTCTTCTGTTCAGAATACTTTATCTTTGCACTGTCTCCTTTTGTTTCCAAAATAGCCTTTTGGGCTTCTTTGTGCTCACTTCTGTTCTGATGTTGAGCTGCTCAAGGCATGCTGTTAAATTGAGTGTGAATTTCACAAGACAACTCTTGGGAAAACGTAA